CGAGGCGGCTCTACTTGTCGGCGCTTGGTGGTTCCCCTGGAACCGAGGAGATCCGGAGGTCTTTGTGGTTCAGAGAAATTTCGGGACTGAGTCCTTACCCTATCCTATGCCCTAGCTACTGGCTACTCCGTACCACTGCTTGCTAAGCCTATCGTTCGGTGCCTGTCCCTACTTCTGTTGTGCTTGCACTGCCGTCCTTCAACCTGATTTGTGTGGCGTAATCAAGATCTTACCTCGACGCGTTTTGGTCGGCGCGTTTTGCTCGGCGCGTCTTGCTCGGCGGGTTTTGCTCGGCGGGGATTAGGGTCGACGCGTTTTGCAGAGACGGGGCGCTGGTCGACTCGTCGGAGATTACGTGTCGAGTTGGACTCTGTCGCTGTGTCTCGCGGCCCATCACCCGCGTCGACTTTCCGTCGACCTCTGCCGCGCGTCGCCCCCATCAATCGCATCGCGTTTCATCAACTGCGTCGAGTTCATCATCCGCATCCATCAGCATTCGTCTCGGCGCCTTCTTTCACCGACGCCGATGTACCCGCTTCCTCGCTGGGCACTACACCACATCCGTCCCGCTGCCACGCACGCGCACTCACCAGGTGGGTGTGTCGTTGCAGAACCTGCCCCGCGTGATGGCCGCATCTCGATTCGTCGAATTCTTTGTCGTCTCCGCCCGCTTCGTTGCCATTGAAGCATCATGGTTCGCGCTGAGGACTTCTGCGTCGAGGAGAGCGGGCCCGACACGGGCAACCTCGAGGCTGCGCTGACATCGTCGTCTATGCAAGCAGAGCACATCGGTCTCGCCTCCCTGATCCGTCGGATCAGCTCGCGGTAGCCCCAGCTGCCTCTCCCCTGTCCAATCGCGACTCGGCGCTACCGTGGCGGAATGCGATCAAACGCAGCAATCCTTCGTAGCTGCAGAGCGGCAACGCGGCGTAGCTTTTGCCGAGCGAGACCGCGCGCATCAAGCCCTGGCGGTCGTCGAGCAAGCGCACGACGCTTCCAGCATCGCGAGGGACCAAGTGCGTCAAGCTTCGGCTCTCCAAAAAGAATTGCAACACCGCCGTCAACGAGAGAGACCAGGTCCGTCGCGCTCGGACGGCGACGCACTACCCTGTTGGACATCTCACCCTTATCCGTAATGCGCCCACGCAGAGCCGTGCGGAAGCCGAGTCGGCGCAGCGTTTAACGAGCCGCTGTGAGTAGACCTTCGGTGCAATAACGCATTCCTTGTGACCCACGCCAAAGAACTCTGGCGGGGCGCGATGCGTATCCGCGACTTGGAGGAATCGGCGAGCTTCAGGCCATGTCTCGCGCAGCTGGGAATAGGGGGTAGCGGCGAGATGCCGCGAGCGCTCAAGTCCACCGTTCCAGCGCTCACGTAATCGAGCTGGAGGACGAGCACGACGTGGCCATCCAGGACCGCGACGAGCATGACGCGGTTTGAGGACGGGTGCTTCGGGAAGCGCGTCGAGGTTGGTAGATGGCGTAGCACGTGCGCGATGGACTTCCAGAACGTCTTGCCGGTGTCGTCACGTCCGTAGGCGGGCACATTGACACCTACGACCTGATCCGTCGACGTGAAGCTTCCGTCGCGGTGGAGACAAACGCTGTGGCCTGCGGAGTCAAGCCGAGCGGCGGCTCCCGCTGCTCCTGTCTCGCCTCCACTACGTCGAGTACGGGTGTCAGCGTGCGTTCTGCCGCCCCCGTTTCCGGTCCTGAGGCTAAGACCTCGTTAACCGCGGATACTCATCGGGCTCCGACGCGCCGTTCAGGTCCGACGCTTCGTCCAGGTCCGGCGTCTACTCCGCCGCCAGCTTCAGCGGGTGTCAGCCGACCGCGGTACAGCGGAGCCGAGGAATCAACGCGTCACGGGTGCAGGCCTCCCAGTTTGGTCTCGACTGCTGCTGTCGATCGAACGCGCCAGGTCACAGCGCAGTTCCAGTCCGAGGCCTCGGACAGCGACGCCCAAGCGCGCCGCCCTCAGACCAAGTGGCGACGTCCCTCGTCGCGTTCACTGACATGGACCCCATTGAGGGGCCCTAGTGCCACACGTTGTCGTTGCTCGTAGTCGCTGTAGCCGTAACTCCAACACGTAGGCCTTGCTCTTTTCCTTCGTTTCTTTCCACTTCTTCACATCTTTTATGAGACGGCCCTCCGCCATCTCATCTTCAGCAACAGGCTGGTCCTCCACACTTCCCTCATCCAACCCCTCGCTCCGGCCATTCCCAGAGTCGAGGCTCTCCGCCTATCCACCTGTCGGCAGCCACCCTGCCAACTTCCACCGCGCCACTAAAGGCGCTCACCCACCAGGGCTCGGCTCAGCCGCCCCACGTCCTCGCGCGAAATCGCCGCAAGACGGTAACGACCAGCGTGCTGTCGCGAGAAGTCGCTCCGCCACTTTCCGCAGTTGAGATCCAGTTCGTCGGTACAGCCTCTCCAGGTCATGTCGAACTCGCGGCGCGCGCAGCCATGTCGGGAAGCCCGACCGGCATGCAGCTCCAAGGACTTCTCCCCTTCGGAAGCATCCTCGTCCAGAGCGAGTGTAGTGTCAGGCTGTGCTCCAGTAAACACGTATCGGTGGAGTCAAACGGTCCGTTCGTTGACACCGCCAAACACGTCGCGGCGTGTGACGGAAACTCTTTAACGGGGTTTTGCTTGGAGGTGCGGAAGTCGAAAGACAGTTGGTAAAGCGAGTTACTCGTCTCGCGACGCGATTCGTTTGGCCTGCCTTGCGCTTTGGTGCGCAACCTGACGCGCCGCATCTGCGCACGCGGTCCGATCTGTAGCGTCCGTCGCTTGGGCTCGGCGCACTGGTGCGGTAGTTTTCCGACGGCGATTATCGCCCTTGACGTACACCGCGGATCTCGGTCGCGCGCGAACCGAAAGGAGAGCGCCAAGTCTACCACGACGCGAACCGTCTCGGCGTGCTTGTTCCTGACCTTCGAGTACGCAACGCCGTCGCTCTTTACAGTGCTAGTGTCCCGGCTCACTTCTAGCGGCATCTCGTCGCGGCAGTCGGCGGGCTCGTTCGACGGGGTCGTCCCATTGATCATAGCGCGCATAGGCCTCAACTTGGAAACGTCCTTGACCGAAAATTAACAAGGCGTGCAGCCCGTCTCAAGACGTACAGCGTACGTGCTCACACACGGGGCGTCTCGCGGCACAGCGTCGAGCATGAGCTCTAGCCCGTAGGCAGATCCCATTCTGCCGCGATCCCAGCAATATGACATCAACGAATTCACTCCAACCCTGTTCATCGCCGCGACGTCGCCCCGGGTCCGATCTGCGTCGTCCCCGGCTTGGTCGACTACTAGCACGTTCACCTGCGCGAGTCGGCAGTTCTGAAGGATGCATATCCCTCGGCGCGTCGACTCTGTTCCGTCGCGCGACGAGTCACTTGCGGCGTCCGACACGCTCCTCGCAACCTCGAATTCCCAATCAGCCTCGACGCAAGGTGGATTTCTGTTTATCGCGTCGTCGCACTCTGAGGGCTGTACTGACGTTGGACCCTCCACGTATTTCGACACTGCAACATGCCCCCTGATCGGGTTCGACGCGTTCCTCGTTGCAGCAGGCTCGTTGCCGGCTGCCTGCGCTCTCGCCGCGTTGGGGCCACTTCCCATCGCCCCGAGTCTCACTTTCGCGTGACTGTCCGTCGCGCGATTTAGAACTTCTGACATCCTCGTCGCGCTCAGTCTCGACGCGTTCCGCGCTGCACCGGGCTGGATGCCACCCCCCTGCGCTCTCGCCGCGTCGGGGGCACTTCCCATCGCCCCGCGTCTCGCTTCAGCGTGACTGTCCGTCGCACGACATTGACCGTGTTTCGTGGCATCTGGTTTCCTGACGATCTCCACTCGGTGGTGTAGCGTCTCTGCGCACCGGGTCTGCGACGAGTTTCCCGTCGCGTTGCACTCATGACGTTATAGCTCGCATCCTACCAGTGCGTCGGACATGCGCTTAAGCTCGTGGGGGAGACCGGGACTGTCGCAATCCAAGCAATATCGTATCGGCAAATTGACTTCAGCCGTGTCCGTCGTCGCGACTCCGCCCCGAGTCCGATCTGCGACGTGTTCAGCTTGGTCGACTTCTAGCGCGTTCACCTGCGCGAGTCGGCGGTGCTGTCGAACGCATAGCCCTAGGCGCTTTGACTGGGCACCGTCGCTTGACGTGTTTCTCGTTGCGACCCACACGCCACCCAAAAACTTGAATGCATAATCAGATCCGACGCAAGACGCGTCTTCGTCCAGCGCACCGCGCCCCGTAAAATGCCCGGGGCCATGCCCTCTGCGCCTTTAGCCGCTCTGGGAGGGGTCTTGACCAGGCTCGACGGGTTCTGAGCAGCCAGCTCTTGTAGGACACCTGGAGCTCTGCCTCTGGGGTTCGTTGCGCGTGTAGAAGCCGAGTGCATCGTCACCACGAGGACGTACGCCGTCCCGCGCCCCAAATCCATGTTCTCCGGCGTCGGCGGGTCTCGTTCCGGCACGTTGACGACAGGGTTGGCCTCGTTGCAGTTTCCCTCGTCGCGATTTTTCGCGTCGCAATCTTCCGCAACGAGGTTGACAGGTGACGCTGTTTCTGGATCTAACGTCCGGGGTCGGATGTCTTCTCGCGAGTGATACGCCGGCTGTATGACAAACACCCCTGCCCCTGCTGCGCTGGCGTCACCGTCGCTCGCCCCGCGTCTCGCGTCAGCGCGACTGTCCGTCGTGCAACGTGGGTCTGGCACCCTCGTTGCGCTCGGGCTCGACTCGTTCTGCGCTGTAGTAGGCTGGATGACCCCCGCCTGATCCTTCGCTGAGTCGGCACCGTCCTTCGCCCTGTGCATCGCGCCAGTGCAACCGGCCGCCGCGGAGCGTTGACCGCGTTCCCCAGGATCCGATTCCCCGGTAACCTCTCGGAGGTGCATCGTCTCCGTGCACCGGATCTGCGACGAGTTATTCGTCGCGCTGTCTTCTTGGTCTCGTCGTACGCATCCAACAAGTGCGTCAGGCCCCGTGTTCCCGCCTCGACGTACGCCGTAACGCGGTTGTACGTGTAGTGCGTCGCAGGTTCGAAGTCGGTGTAGCTGCAGGCAGCGTGGCTCGTCGCCCGCCTTGCCCGCCACCTTCAGGACCGCAGACTTATTGAGTTCACTGGACATCCGTCGAGTGACAGCTGGTACCTTCGCCAGCAATCCTCCAGGTGGCGCGCCGTGGCATTCGGGCTTGTCCACAGGAAATCGCACCACTCGCCCCGCTGCGGCGTACCCGCCACTTCGATAGATCGCGCAATTCGGACCAGCATCTTGCTCAGGGTTGACCAATCGATCTAAGTTTATGGCGCGGTGCCTCTCTTTTGGTGCAGACCCCGGTGGTCCTCCAGTCCCGCCACCGTCAGGCCCCTCGTCGACCACGTCAAAGTTCACATTCGGCTTGTTCTTCACGGTCTCGAGGGCGGAATGTCGCCAAAGACGCCATTTTCCAGCTTTGTCCCCAAGTCGCATACCGTCGCAGGTCTGAGACCTCGCTACTGACCGTCGCATAGTGCCACATTCGGTCAGTCTCACGTCGTCGCGTCCCCTCGACCCTTCGCTCGACTGTCGCACGGTGTCACATTCCGTCTGTCTCATGGGCGACCCTTCGCCCAACTGTCGCACGGTGTCACATTCGGTCCGTCTCACGGTGTCGCACTTCCGGGACTGCTTCTGGGACTGTTTCTGGGACGGTTCCGAGACGTTCAATCCCTCACATCTCACACTGTCGCACTTGTCCCTGTTGGATTTTGCAACTTGCGCGCGTTCGCTCGACTGTCGCACCCCGTCGCATTGTTGCGACCTTCCGCTGGACGGCGCGCCTCGCCCGACGCACCTTCGACGGGTTGTTCGACTCGCGACGCTTCAGCTGGGCGCCCCGCATTGTCGCTTCTCTGCGACCCGTGGTCCGACCGTACACACGTCGTTACTACGTCGACCCGTGTCTTCAACACCACGCGCGACAGCGTCGAGTGGCCACGCGTCTGCAACTTGCTCACCGACGACGTCTCCACCGCTGGCGCACGGGTCAGCCCCGCTGTTGGTGACTTCACAGCGACTACTGGGCTTGCTATCCACGTGAACTCCTTCCTCTAGCTCACCTCGACGCGCGTCGAATTCCAGATCTTCGTACGTCGGCCATCCATACATGGGCCAGACGAGCTCGTCGTCACGCCAGGTCTCGTCCTCGTCGCAGGTCACTTCATACGCAAGGTTTTGCCAATCTTGGTACTGTCGATTAGTCGCCAGCACGAAGCGGGGCGCAGGCGGAAACACACCGGAGGGTGTCCATCAACCCACGTTCGTGCCTGCGTCGAGCGTTATTGTCTCGTCCGTGACGTTGGTCACCCGCAGGTATGTTTGTCGCTCGATCTTAGTCTTAAACATGGTTGTAACCCACGTTTTGCTGCGCGTGACCCACAGGCGCGGTGCATCTCGGCTGGAGCGCATGCGGACGTCGAGTGTTTGCCCTGGGTCGAGTTGCTTAAGCGCGTCGAGTGAGACCGGCCGCACTCGTGCGTCGTAACGCCATTGCTCGGGAGTCGTAGAGGCCCGCGCCGTGCCCAACGGTCGCCTGGATGTCGTCACAACCGGCACTGCGACGGACATCACGGCGTGATTACCAAGTCCTTGCTGGTGCATCTCCTTCGACGCGTCCCGCGTCAACATTTTCTGCGTCGAGTTTTTTCTGCGTCGAGTTTTTTCGCGTCGAGTTTTTTCGCGTCGAGTTTCTTGGCTCGACATGAACCGCAGAGACATGGGTATTCGATGCCTGAGTTATCGTAGAGCGCGTACTAGCCTCTTCCAGCGCCTTAAGAATTGCTTCCTTCAGATCCGGCAGAACCTTGATACGCGCTGGCGTGACCTCACGGGGCATAGCGCTCGGCGGCTCGCTCAGATGGTTGAAAACCTCGTCCAGTTCCGGTGAAGTCGTGGTTGAGGTCGCGGCCGTGGTTTTCGGCATCCCGAAGTCCACGTCAAAGAAGTCGGCGGGTTCGTCATCTACGTCGCGTCGGGGTTTGGACCTCGACGTGGAATGCACGCTCGACTCAGCCTGGGACGAAGTTATCATCTGCGTTGAGATTGGGCCCGTCCCAGGCGGAGTCACCTTGCGTTGGATGGCCCGACCAGGACCGTCAATGGCCCCAAGACGCCGCGGATCGTACGTGTCCACGACTCGACGTCCCAGTCATACACCCCCGTCCTCTCGGTGATGCCCGAGCTGAAGCCTGATATTCGTGCAACATCTCGAAGAGTGTCCCTGCGGCTCGCGTGACGTTCATGAGCATGTCAAAGTCTGGCACCCGGAAAGGACCCGTGAACTTGATCGCGTTGGGCTTGATAAAACGCAGGATCGGATCGTGCTCCAGCAGCCGGATCAGCTCCACTCCAGCAAGCATATACCTCATCTCTGCCGTGGTGAACTGATTCCCCGTGTCATCGCCTCTCGCCTTGACCGGCGGTCCATCCGCTGAATCCGGCGCGCAGAGCTTCTCCGGAGACTTGCTCTTGCGCGACTCGAAGCTACTATTGAAAACCCCACACTCGATTGGTATCGAGGTGGCGGCGAGGGCGTGGTCGTCGAGGTCTGGGCTGAGCCCGTCGAGGAACTCGGCGCGTCTTGGCCCGCTGAGAAACTCGTCGCGTCTTGTTTGACGGATCCGGCGAGAATCGTCAAGGGCTCCTGCACGACGCGAATCGCGCGCAACCAGGACTTGAGGTCCCAGTCGCACAGCTTCTCCATCTCGAAAGATCCCAGCACGAATCTCGAATCACGCAGCATCTGGAAGAGAATCGTCGCGGTGTGGGCGACGCTGGTGGGACTATCGAAGTCCGGCGCGACGAAGGGGCCCGTGAAGTTGCTCATCAGCATGGGCTTGAGGAAGACCAAGATCGGGTCTTGCTCCAGCAGCCGGAAGAGCTCAGTGCGCGCCACGACGTACCGCACCTCTTCGACGGCGTACTGGCGCCCCGCTTCCTTGCCTTGGGGCTTGGACAGCGACGCTTCCGCCGAGTCCGGCGCGTGCAGCTTCTTCTTCCTCCTCTTCTTGGGCGACTTGCGCTTGGCGGCGGCCTTGGCGGTGGGTTGTTGTTGGTCGTCGGCCTTTGCAGGCTTCCGACCGCGACGCAAGTCGCGGTCCTTCGCGGCTCCCTCGTCGGGAGCCGCATCGGGGACGGCAAACTGTTCTTCGTAGCCCTCCTGGTCGTCGCTGGCCCCGTGGCCTGTCATGAAGGTTCCCTCAGAGCTCCACGACGCGACAGGTCTCTCACTGTGCTCTCTTGCGGTCGGCGACCTTCCAGCCGACTGCGCACCTGCCTCCGATGCCTCTTGGATCGTTAGCCCGTCATTCGAAGTAGTACTCCCGGGTCGCGGCACCATTAAGGAGTAGCGCCCTCGCAGAAATCTCGCGAATGCGATCTCGCACAAACTCGGCGGTTCTGGATAGCGGTCGCGCCGAGCAAATTATTCCCGGTTGTTGGAGTAGCGTATCTTCGAAATACAGACCCAAGTCTTCGCAGGCTTCGGAGCTGGGGGTTCTTGTGTTGACGCTTGTTCCTTGTCGTAGGGCGTCGCGTCGAGCCTTGGGCGTGCGGCGTTATCGGGCC